GTTAGACTCCCTGACTTTTCATATTACTAGTCATACAATTCAGGCCCCATGAGAGAAGGAACAAGGTAACCAGAGAATAGCACCATACATCTCCCATACAATCACTCCCTTACACAATCACTCCCTTCAGGATTAAGCCCTCAGGACTATGAGGTTCTGACTCACATCAAATACTTTTAGAAACAAAGCCATGGATCTGTTGACTGCAGAGATAGAATTTTGGTCAAACTAGAGATGACATTTAGGCCTTAGCTCTGTTTCAACTCCAGGCCCAGAAAAGTAGCAAAATCAGATGGAGAAATGTCATGGCTGACATCAGAACCAGCTACAATGACTAATGATCCACCTACCCCAGCACCAACCAATCAGTAGAGACCATGACCATGAAAGGACACACCTGGAAAGCTGATGACTATTCTATTGAGATCTTCCCCTGAGACTTCCCTTAAAAATACCAACCTTTAAAAAGCATTAAGATGAAAGACCCGTCTCTGTCTCTCTTGCCCTCTCTTGCTCATGCCTTTCCCCCTCTTCTTCCCTCAAGCCCATCATTTTTGCTTTCTTTCTCCTAAGCTCCAAGGGCTTGTCTTTTGCCCCTTAACTTATTTCCTGAGTACATTCAGCCCTGCTGACTCACTTCTTCTACCACTCTGATTTTCTAAATAAACATGTGTCAAAATTCTTGGCTTTCCATGCTTTCTTAGCTGAACTCAAGGACCGAGGTATAACAGTGTGAAGGGAATATGTGTAAGATTAAAGGCAGAAGAAACAGGCAGGGCTCAGGTAGTGGGTAATATTGTCTATCAGCTGACAAGATGACCACATCCCACACAGTGTAAGAAGCTGCTGGAGGAATTTAAAGAGAGAAGTGAATTTGTTTTAAATGATCACAAGCTTTACAGTAAAGAAGCAATGGAAAGTGTGAGACCAGAGAAAGACATTTGGAAAGCTCTTATGGAGGTTCAGGTAAGAGAGGATAGTAGCTTAGAAAATATCAGGGTCAATGGAGTTGAAGGAAGTAGATGGGTTTAGTAGAGTTTTACACAGAAGAATTTACTGTGATGAGAAGTATAAAACAATGATTTCTAGCCCTTCATGGGAGAATGGAATTGGAGAAGAAGGAGGACATGAGGAGAGATTAGGAAATAAACTAGATTGGCTGGCATTGCTTCTTTGGGGTTCCAATTCCAAATTTCCTTCAGGGGACCACCTTACTCCCTGCCCCCTCATGTCCAGCTGGTTACAACACATCTTACAGGATCTGTTATAGAATTAAGAATAGACGTGCCACTTCTCTTTTTCCATCTGGATAATAAAGGCACTAAACTCCCTGGGACAAAATCCTTCCCTCCCCTCCAGGATGGGCTGAATTCTCCTGTCTCTGCATTGTGCTACAGTATATCTCAACCTTACACTGCTTCATTTTCACTGCCTGGTTTCCCAAGCAGCTAAGCAGGGCTGCCCTACCCTCTCTGTAATACACCACACACTGATTCTAGATGGTCCTTCAGGAAAGAGATGCTAGCTTTCCTGAATGGAGATCAGGTTCCTTCTTATACCTCCACCATATTTCTACACCACAACTTCTAGATTCTGGCACCAGAGCCTATTTTCAATGTGTCCCCTTGTTTGGACTTCTTGTCCTAGTGCCCAGCTGGGAAGAAATAGGAGATGGAGAAGATAGCTAATGGGAGCAGAAATGTGGCTGGAGTCTTGGCCTTGGGGAATTAAATCCAGGTTATGTATCCTGTATATATACACACAATTATATATCCAAAAGTGTATGTGTGTGTGTCATAGGATATGAGTATCCCTGTGATTTTTTATGTGTTAAGGTGTATATGCATAAGTCAGTGTGCATATGGTAACGTCTGTGTGTCCATGACTGTCAATGCCTGTGTATGTGTGAGGTTCTCTGTGTTGGCAAATATGTTATCCACATGTGTCAGTGCACATGTATATGTTCCCATGTGCTTGCAAACTAGAGGGTGCATGTATATATGGTGGTACATTTGTGAATATATGAATGTCTAGACTGTGTTCTACATAAACAGAGGTAGAATACAGTGTCTAGTTAAAAGCATATGTTCCAATTCAGGCCACCTATGCTTAAGCTCTGAATCTATCATTTAAAAGCTATAGGCTTTTTAAACCTGGGTAGAATGGTTTATAGTTTTTTTTCTAGAGTGAATAATTAACTTCTTTAAGCTTCAGTTTACTCATTTCTAAACTGGGATAATAATAGTACCTACCTTCAATACCTAATGTGAGGTTGGAATGCTATAGTGCTTTTAACATATTTAGAATATTGCCTGGTGCACAAGACATGTTAAAAATGTTCACTGTTACTAAGTTATTCATGGCAATAAATACATAAATGACCAGTTTAGCGGGTCTAGCTGAGGATCTGTGTGTGTAAACATGGGGGGAGTATGTGAAGTTGACATGCAAGTCTTTTTTAATTGTTGTTCAAGTACAGTTGTCTCTATTTTTCCACCACCATTTTCACCCACCCCACGTGCCCCCACCTCCTACCCTCAATCTTATCTCCCTTTGGCTTTGCCCATGGGTCTTTTATACATATTCTTTGATGACCTTTCCTCTATTTTCTCCTATTATCCCCCTCTTCCCTCCCTTCTGGTTACTGTCAGTTTGTTCTTTATTTCAATGTCTCTGGTCATATTTTACTTGTTTGTTCTTTTTGTTGATTAGGTTCTGCTTATAGGCAAGATCATATGGTATTTGTCTTTCACTGCCTAGTACATTGTTGGTGGGAATGCAGACTGGTGATATGCATATCTTTTAGAATACATATCTTCATATGGGTATATGAATCCTGCATCTGAAGGTCAGTAGGTATGTGTACCTGACTGTGATATGCCTGTGAGTCTCTCTGTGTTTGTGTTCCACAAGATTTGAACCTCTAAGGGCAGAGACTGTTTCATCATTTTACCCAGGTCTTTGGACCTGGGACATAACAAGTTGCTCAATGAATGTGTTGATTGAATTAATGCAGTACACTGGGTATTCAGAAAGTGTTACTCATACAGCATTCCCATTAGTGAAAAACAAAATACTATAACTATCTAGCTAGATTATAGGTAGATTAAGAGAGAGAGAAAGACAAAATAGAAGGTAGATAATAGCTGATGATAGATAGACAGATAGAGAGATGATAGGAAAGCAATAGATGATTGAGTTAGGTAGCATCCCATGTACTTTACACTGGAAGAGACATTAAAAGACATATGTCCCAAGGAGTTAGAAAACTTTGCCCTTGGTAATCCTGTGGGTTATCATGGAGTTCCATTGAGGTCCTGAGGAGGAAGGAATAACAGAATTGGAGAGCTAAGACATCAACAAGATTGTATTTGATTTTGATCTTTATGTATTGGATATTTATGTAGAACTGTATTTAAAGAAAGGGTTCCACTGTAAATGTTTGAGAATCTTGTGCTAGCCCAGCCCCCAAGACTCAGAGAAGGGACCTTCCCCAACATTTCTTTCAGGTCCCTTCCTAGTGCACTTCCTCCCTTGGAATTTAGTAGCTCTGAATCCTCTAACTCTCTCTGACTTACAGGGAAACAGGAGGCAATTCTTTCCAGAAATTTCTCCATCTTAAAGTAGCCACTAACATAGCCTTTTAGGTTGCCTGACCTCAGGTCAGACCCATCAGCTATGTTCATGTGAAATGAGCTCATGCACCTGGCCTAAGACAACTGGACCAGGGAGAACATTTAGACACAAGCAGGGAAATCAGACTCTGGTGCAGTTTGGATATGGGATACCAAGATGCCAGGCAGTCTCTATGAGCCCTGAATTAGGAATCAGAGTGAACCTGCAATGCCCATATTTAATCAAGGGATGATAAATAAATAGGAAAAGCTCGTTTCAGAGAGAGGGGGGAATGAAGGAGACACACAAAGATAAGCAGACATGAAGGCTCTGTGGTTTTAGGAAGAGTGGCAGATGGAAAGACAGACAAGCCGGGGTTCCTACAGTTTGCCTGTGCAGCCTGGTTTACCTTCTGTCCTCGGGCTTCTTGTTTCTGTATCTTTGTAATCAATGTACTTTTTGTCTGAGTTCATTAAAGTAGGCTTCTCTTTCTTAAAACCACACCATCTCTGAACAAAGCTACGTGTTGGAAAGTCTCCTCCCTCACCCTGACCCCCAGCTTGGCCTGGCCTTGATCTGGCCATTTTCCCTGAGGCCATGAGATGCTTTGTGAAGGCTTTGTGAGGGCTCATTAAAGGTTTTTAGAAAGTAGCTTCCCCCATCTCTTGGGCTTTGTTGCTATATCCCCCATAGAACTGATGCATTATTCTTTTCTGGGACTCCCAGCTTAGTCCTTTAAGGGAAAAGAATTCCTATTTACAGCTGGGGTGGCAGTGTCTCTGCACCCAAATCAAGCAGTTCCTTCAGCATCCAGATCCCAGGGTAGGAGTTTGTGTAATTCTAGACACATCAAAGCAGGTCTGCAGTGTAGTAGGGAACAGGTGAACAATGGGGATCAGTCTTTCCTGGAGCTTGATCTCCCAAAGTGGTCCATTCAGAACAACTTCCCATGGCGATTGTTGAACCCAAGATGAAAATATATCAGAGAATACGGATGAAGCAAGAGTCAGTATGTTCAAATCACCAGCAGTAAAAACAGGAGGCGGAGCCAAGGGAGGTGCACCTCTTTAAGGAGTTCATCCAAATCCCCTTTTCCCCAGTAACATGGCCCCTCTCCCCTGTAGTTACAAAGGCATGATACACTTTCGGTAAAGGCTGAAGCCACAGAGGACCTAGCAAATTTGCATTCACGAAACTGCTAAAGAATGAGAAAGTCAGCCCAGGTTAAGCCATCAGAGCCCCAACTATGAGAAAAAGAGAAATACAAAGGCACTGAGATTGTCAACCAAGGGGAAGCTCTTCCTTTCCCCAAACCTGGACCAGTCTTGAGTCTGTTGACACAAAGACATCTATGGATTTGGAGAGAAGTCCAACAGAGCTGAAAGGTGACTGGAAGCCATTGCCAAAGGACCAGCTCCCTAGCTGAGCTCAGAACAAGCCAGCCAGAAGGACAGAGAGGAGGAGCACAGGAAAGGTCACCAGGAACTCTGAAATACAAGGAAGATGACTGTCATGTGTTGGGCTTTGGAATTCAGCAGCCAAAGTGGGCTGTCCCCTCCCCCCACTGCCCTTGCCCTTTGCTGAACAAGGATGACAAAGGCAGAGTGTCCTTAATACCTGGTCTGGGTTACAACCCCTGGGAGGTGGCAAAGGGTCATGTGCTTGGGGCAAAGCTATCTATTAACCAAACACTTCCTCATGATCCCCTGGGCATACTGGAAGGAACTTTCCCAGCCTCCTTTGCAGGTGGGTGGCACCCTGTAACTGATTCTGGCCAGTGGGATGTGGGTAGAAATCATAAATGCCATTTCTAGGTCTGGTCCTTACAACCTCCTACATGATTCTCTATGCTCTCACTCACCAAAAATGTTTCATAATGTTCAGTGACTTATTCCACATTCCCTGTATCCTGCTGCCTAGACATGATGACGGAACTCATTGGACCATGAAGGTGAGACCTGAGATGGTAGAGGGGGAACTGGAGGAAGCCCATTCTTGATGACTTTGTGGTATTGCCCTAGTTGCACTGGATTGCTCACCTCTGGACTTTATTTGTGTCTGAGAGAAATAAACTTCTACCTAAAATAAGACATTATTACCCATACCAGTGACTTTTTATCACATCACCCTCTTTTCTTGCTAAAGTAGCTTGTTACTTTTTTATTGTCTGTTTCCCACACTGAGGGCAGGTACCTGAACACCGTTGTTCATCGTTATATCTCCAGTGCCTAGAACAATGCCTGGCACAGAGTAAGCATTCAATAAATATTTTTGCTACATGATTATCTCCCCTGCTAGATGTAGGCTTTTCCAGAGCTAGTTTTAAAACGGATTCATTTTAGTGTCCACAGTTTCCAGCACAGGGTCTGCCTACCAAAGGGGCTCAATGGGTGTGCATCAAATTTAGAAGAGGAAAGAGAGAGCATTAGGAGGGGGTTGGGAAAGACAGGAGAAAGTGAGGTACCTGAAATGCTGGGGGTTCTGTTCGTGACACCAAGAGACAGGGCGCCTGGCAACAAAAACAGAAGGTGTGGATTTCCTCAGTCATACTCCAGTATCTGCGGCACTATGGCCATAGTTGCTCTGAGTTCTCCTGGACCTGGCCACCACATTGTGAAGACATCTAGTATTTGGCAGGTACCTATCTAAACACATATCATGCATTGGAAAATTAATCCACCTTAGGGTATTCTCATACCCATTTGACTGATGGAAAGGCTAATATTTAATGATGTCAAGAGAATTGCCAAGTTATCCTTGCTAGTGAGTAGCAGAGCTGGGATTTGAAAACCAGGCTGTTTGATTCCAAAAGAGAAGTTCCTAACCCCCTAGCTACCCTGTGATACCACATGAGACTTCTAGTTGAGGACTCAGTAAAGAAACAGAACAACTGAGGGCAGAGCCTTCTTTGCAAGACAACATCAGTAACTCATCTGGAGAATGGAAGTCATAATATGCTGTGGTTCCTTATGCTGTTGTGAGCATTCCATGTGATAATGCATGTAAATGTGTTTTGCACAATGCCAGCCACAAAGTGTTGTTGTGTTATTACTACTACTAAAACAACACTGTATCCCAATTTATTTAGGACAAAAAAAAATGCCTTTATTCTTTTGGGTTTCTTGACTCCCAGTCAAGTGAGAATCCATTCCAGTGAGAATAAAAATCAATACAGTACCACTAACTCATGTGCAGGATGGATGAAAATTTGAGGAGCAGTTTGAAAGCTTTCTGTATATCATGCCCCAGAGTACTGTAACTGGATTTTGAGAAACAGTCATTCACCAGAAAACAAATTTGGGTTAGGAGTAAGACTTCACCACTAAGGGACTGAGTTATGGGGATTTGGCAGGGGAGATAAGGAAAATGAAACATGCTTTGGAATAGAACAAGCTGGATTCAATCCTAACTCCAGTCACTCACAAGCTGGGTATCTTGGATGAGTCACTTAACCTCTCTTAGCTTTGATTTCTCACCTATAAAATGGATGTACTCTGATAAAGATTAAGAGAGTCAATGGATAATGAGTGCTTAGCCTGGTCTCTAGCACAAAGGAGGCCCAGCTCAAATGGAACATGCTGTTATCATTACCCAGAGTAACTCATGGAGAGATATATTCATTGGCTGAGGCTTCACTGAGTAGACAGAAAAAGCTCTACATTGTTAGGCTGGTGACTCTGGGTATCTGTGGTTAACTGTCAGCACTTGAGTACTGGGTTTACCACCAGGACTTAGCCACTTACCTTTCCTAGTGATGGGTCCCAAATCTAGTACCAGGTCTGGGTTGATTACCACTGCTTCACTTCGGAGTTGGCTTCTTGAGCAAAACTGTGAGGATGGAGAGTTCTCATGACATCAAAATATAAAGGATGATTTCTAGTCAGTTCTGGCCAAAGAATGAGGCCCAGAGTTATATAGTCATAATTCTGATGCTGCGGTTATCACAATATAGAGTATTCTTACTGTCATGTGCAACAAACCTGGGTAAAAATTGCATCTTCACTCTCTCTTAACTTACTAATATAGGACAAATGACCTCACCTCTCTACTATTATTAAATAGTACCTTCCTGGTAGGGAAGGTTAAAATGAGGTATGTTTGCTACATGCAAACACATAGTAAACACTCAATAAATGCCAACTATGAGCAGGAAGTGTCAAAAAGGGGTTAAGGCCACGAGCACTCGAGTCACAGCTGGGACATGCCCTCGCTCTGATAATTTGTAGCTATGATACTCTGTAGCGCTAATACTCTTGTTTTGGGCAGGACACTTCTCTAAGTTTGTTTCCTCATCTATACAATGGGGTCAATAAAAGAATCTACTTAAAAGGTTTTTGTGAGAATTAAATAAGACACAGCACATGAAAGTTCTAGTATAGCACTTGACACAGAGTAAGCACAAAAAAAACCTATTATTATAATAATCTAAAATATGTCTTATGGCAAGGAAACCTGGTGGACAGGGTTCTTCAGCTAGGGACACAATAATCACTTAGACATGGGCTTTTTGAAGGCTTAATATCCATCCATTCATCTTTCTTTCCTTTTCTCCTTCCCTCCTCCCATTCATTTACCCATCCATTTCTTCATCTATCCAACTTTCTTTTCTCTTCCCCTCTTTCTCCATTTCTTCTTTCCATTCACCATGTACCAGACCCCATGTCAGACTCTGAATAGTAAAGTCCAGAAAGATACTCACTGGCTGACACTGTTCATTGAGGAAATCACAGAGATGAATCTCACAGTGCAGGAAAACTAGGTCATAATTTCCAGCAAACATGAACATCTGAACTGAGAACCGGCCTTCAGAGGACACCCCATTCTCCTCCACATAGATAGTGGAGTCATGTTGATTTGGGCAGCTGTGAGGGTGACAGAGGGAAGGGTCAAATTTCTAGAACAACTCAGGGAGCCTGAGTCACTTGACTTCATCTTTTATCTGTGTCTAGTATAAAAACAACATCAGAGAGGATTACAGAGCTCTCCAGCTTCCCTTTATCCTGACAACATTGACTTTTATTCCTCTAGGTGTTCTCCAAAATGTTATTCATAAGCCCATATGGTTTAAGTGTTTTGGAGCATAGTCACCAGAATGAGACAGACTGGTTTCAAATTTCAGCCCAATCCACTTTCCAGGTAATTGATCATGAGCAGATCACTCAATCTTTCTGAGCTCTACTCGCCTTATCTGTAGAAAAAGGAATATGTACTTCCTAGGATTCATGTGAACCTTTAGTGATATAATCCAAGAATCCCGTTTAATACAGTGCTTGGCACATAGACAAACTCAGTGATAAATATTAGCCAGCATAATTCCATGGTTTGAATAATGATCTACAGACTTGCATTTCCTTTTGCTTTTTCCAGTTAACATTAGTCAGTAATACTGTTTCCAAGTTGATGAGTCAGCGTTAACATTTGTATAAGTCTGTCATTACTTAACAGAGTTGCCATTTTGAACAATGAACCTATTGCCAATGTTGTAAAAAAAAAATACAGAAATGAAAAAATAATTGACATTTCTTTACCTTGACCACTAACTTTACATTAATGCTTTAGGCTACAATTTCAGGAGTGATATTACTTGGTCAAAGGGTATGGTCATAAAATGTAACATCAAATTATTTTCCGAAAGAGATAAGCCAACTTACACAACTGCCAGGCAGGAATGTGGTGATAATTTTTCCCCAAAAAGATGACCCCACAGATGTTCAATACCTGTTTCTGATGATGAAATGTTTCACAGGGTCAGTCTTGTCTTTAGTGGGTGTGGCATAGCAGTTCCTCAACAGCAGGTTAAACCGGGAGGTGTCTCCTCTCTCCAAGATGGCACCCACATAGAGCATGGATTCAACAGAAAGCAAAGCTGTGGCCCCTTCGTAAGGCAATGTATAGTTCTGGTCTTGGAAGAGGGCCATCCTCACAGTAAATTCTCCCTCCCCAGCCACACTGATATTCATGGAACTGAGAGAAGGAAAACCACAAGACTAGAACCATCAGGCTTTGATGTATGAGAACAAGATAAATCAAGCCTCACTTATGTGTAAGGCTGTGAAAGTGAAAGTACACGTTGATCATTAAAGACACTAGTTAATCATTCATTTAAGTCAGCATTTACTATCTTCTAGGCACTACACTTGACAAACAGATGTGCCTGTCTCCAGGGATTCCACCAGGCTTCCCTGTCTCACAGATCACACACATCTTCACTCCAAGTGCACACCTCTGTTTTCTCATCTGCAGACTATGGCTTAGGACAAGCTCTATGGAGTCACAATTTTTAACAGCATACCTCTTCCCTCCACCCCACAATTTTCAGTAATATGTCAATTTTGCCAAGATTAATGGCTTTAATTTTTATTTTTTATAAATCTTGGAACCCAACACTATACAGTCTAAGAACCATGAAACTAGAAAATGTGTGATCCTTCTAATCCTGCCATTCTGGAAGCCATGGAGCAATGGATGATGGGAAGGGAAGCCTGGATTTCTGACACCCTCATAAAGTCCCCTGGCAAGTCTAACAGTGTTGAGGAACATTCAACAGGGCCCCCTTCCTGGCACGGTGATTGGGGGAGGGGTAGTAGAAAAAAACCCTCCCTGCATGGAATCATACACAAATTTCTATTTGGTTCTATTTCTGATAAATGTTTATCTAATCAAAGCTGATCCACTTTAAATCCTACATCTCCAGGGAAGCTTTTCTTCTCCCACCTCCCCCTTATCCCCTACAATTAAATCAGGGACCTTTGCTTCCTAAACCCACAGCACCTCATGTTTCTCCTACATTGTTTTTATCTCACATGTAATTATTGATGTAATCGTTTAATGATTTTCTTCCTCAAAATAAATAAAATGGTCATATGTTTTTATTCTTAGTATATTTAATTATTGCTATTTCATGTTGCTACATTGCTTCAAAATATTCTTTAATATCCACAAAATATTCTATGTCTGCCTATTGCATTGGACATTAATATACAATCAACAAATTTTATACAACGAACAATTGGAAAAGTGGAAGCTCCTGAAGGAGGTAGATAACACCCTGTGGACAGACATCATAAGCTGCTCATGAAATGAGTGTGGCTAATGTCAGGGCTATGGGTAAAAGAACAAGGGTCAGTGTCATACCTTACAATGGGCTGCAGGGCAGTTTGGAGACTGACTCTCATGTCCAGCAGGTAGGTACACTGGAAGTTGATGTTGAGTTTGGTGTCTCTGATGATGAACTCGTTGACCAAGGAGAGAGTGTTTTTGTAGATGGCATGGGTTTCATTTTTCTTTGGTTAAAAACAATACCACATGTATATTTATGTTGACATGTGTAAGTGTGTCTGGAACTCAGGTCTGCCTGATTCCACAGTCAGGGCTTTCAATCATGCTGCTGCCCTGCTTTCTGATCTCAGGATAATAAGTGGGCCTCCTCCCCCAGTGGCACTGACACTGTGGGAAAGGGGGTGAATTTCCCAGATCAAAATATTACTGCCTGGGCAAGTTAGGAACCACCATACTTACTCCTCTGTGAATTCCTTCCATATTAACCCAAATTAAAATAAGGACAATTATTGCATTTGTCCAGCTCAAGCATCAGATCTGCTCTAAGCTTAAGCTCTTTACATGGGCCAATATGTATAATTTCACATACCCCTAGAGACCCAGAGAGACTTGCTAAATGTCTTACAGCTATTGAGATGGTCCTCAGAAACCCAGCTTCCGATCTCTGGCAGCAGGGGTGTGAATGCTGCTCACCTCCAGAATATTCCCACAGACATTAGCCTGAGTAGGGCTGGTCACAGAAATCAAGTTCCTCTCCTCTCTTTGCATGATGCTGTTGCACTTCTGGTCCCGCAAGTAGGCCCTGACTTCATCTCCAAAACCCAGGCCTTCCAGCCTGCACCTGTCCAGTGAAACCTTGATCTCCGTGGCCCCACAGTCCAGTAGAGGCTGCAAACTGTGGATATCTGAAAAGTCAAGAAGATGGGGTGTGGAAGGAGCAGGCACAATCCATCTTCCCTGCATTTGGAAAAGCTTCCATGCCTACCAGGAGATTACATAGACTAGAAGGAGCTTGGAACCAGGTGGGGTTCATGCCTGGGCTTGCAGTAGGCAAGGTTGGCAAAGAAGGTCCTGGTCTGAGATTGTTAAGCATCTTACGTGCACATTTGGTGCGGGCTTCCATGTCCAGTCTCCCTCAGGGATTAGAGTCTCTGGATGATCATAACTGTCCCATCTTCCAGGCTAGAATCAAAGCTAGATACACACTAATCCCACTTCCTGGCCTTGTGAAGCCAGCACATCTGATCTGGTTCAGAGCCATTGCATTCATTCATTCATTCACTCCTTCACTCATTTGTTCATTCATCCAACATTTATTCAACAAATACTTCTTGAGACTCTACTAGCTGTCAGGTACTGTTCTAGGCAAAGGTATGAAATCATTATCAAAACTAACAAAATTCGAACCCTGATATAGTTACAGCCTGATAAGGGAGAGATAGTAAATTAAGAGAAATACATTTTTAATTATATTAATGAATTCATTAATTCAACATTTATTTACTAATGAGCTTCCCCATGTGCTGGTCACACTTAACACAAATATAAAGAAAACATGGACCCAGTCCACGAGGATTTGTTGGTCTTCTGTAAAACCAACATGCCAACCTCTTATTATGATGCAGTATGATGAAAGTTAATAGGTGTAAGTTCTAGATGCAGAGGAAATGCATAAGAAAAGTTATCTAAGTCTGTCAGTTCATTCATAGAAGGATGTATAGACAGCTGGAGCCTAATAGGGGTAACAGTCTTGGGGGTGAATAAAGGAAGTGAAGTTTAAGGGAACAGCCGAGGCAAAGTGTGGCCATGGGAGATAGGATGATGTATTTATAGAGGCACAGTGTTCAGAAGTACAGGAACTTAGAATGGGAGGGGGAACTGTGGAAGATGAAGAAGCAAGCCAAAGCTAGATCATGAAGGGATTGTGTCTGGTAGAGATGGAAATCCACTGAATAGCCACGGATAGACACAAGGGGCCACTTGTTCACCCAGTCAGACAAAGGACCTGCCAAGAATACCCTTGAAACCTATCCAGGTACATGGAGGATGTCTGCAAAGCCTAGCATCTGATTCTGTGATGCCCAAACCCCAGGAAACCACCCTGACCCTCAGGGGTCTCATCCACCCAATGTCTCCATGGCGAACAGGACAGTTCCCTCCCTGTTCCTGTCCCTTACCCCATGCAACTCCTTCCAGGCACACAAGCACCATCCCATCCACACTCCAGACCAGTTTTCCAAGAGTGTTTTGCTTATTCTTGTCCCTCTGTGGAAAAGACAGTCTCTTTTCCATAGGTTGTGGGAGTTTGCTCAGAAGAAGGGATGCTTGTGCCAAGGGCAAGAGTCACAGGCCCTCATTAGATTCCTAAGAGAGATTAGGGCTTACCTATACCATCCCTTCCCAGGGGTCATCTGCTGCTGTTTGATTACCTCCTAGGATAAGAAACTCATCACCTCCAGAGCCTGCCCATTTGTACTACTCTCATTTAATTTTCACAGTAGCTCTTTATAATGAGTATTTTTATTAATATCTTATCCCTCATTTATAGATGGGGACATTAAGAGAGGGTAGATTACTTGTCTCAGGCCCCAGAGCTACTTTGTGGCAAATCCAGGCCTGGCACAGGAGTCTGCCCTTGTCCCTCACATGTAGATTCTGTAGATATTTGCACACAGCTCCCATACTTGCAGAGTTCCTCTCCTCAGTGCCTTTGTCCCTCATGGGTCAAGCCTGCCCATGCCAGAGCTGCTTCCTGAGACCTGAAAATTTGTTGCATCCCTGACCTCTTGCTAACCCACTGGTTCTGAGAACTCACATTCCCTAACCTTAATTCCATCCCCACTGATTCTTGACCTTGTCCTGACCCTCTGAAGCTCTCTCCTTCCTTCTGTACATGTTCAGATCAGTTCCCACCCACCACGGTCCCCACTGGCCTGGCCGCTGAATTGCTCACCAGAGGTATTGAGGTCCTTCTTGCAGGAACAGCTCCAGGTTCCATTGAGAAAGATGCACTGCTCCTCTGGGCGGCAGGTCTTCTCACACCTGTTCTCCACAGTGGAGGGGTCTGGTTGTAAGGTATGGAGAAGAAGATCAGGATGCAAAGCAGGGAGGACCTGCAATGCTCAAGGCCAATCTTGTCAATCTACCAGGGCTCAGAAGTCTTGCCCGAGATTGTGCAATTCTTAATGAAAGGGTCAAGCTTCAACCTTTAATTTCCTGATTCTGTCCAGTGAAGTGAAAATCCTGAAGCGGCCATCTTAATGCTTACAACATGACAGGCACTGATCAGAGTACATTCCATGTGTTAGCTCATTCAATTGTCATGGTAACTGTATGACACAAGGTAGCATGAGAGTAGAGTGCTAGGTTCAAGTGCTAGCCATGTGATGTTGGGAGAACTGCCTAATCTCTCTGTGCCCCAGACCTGTCATCTGGGGTGATTATATAATAATTTATCTTATATGTTGATGAATGGGTTAAATGAGTAACTAGTCTAAAGTACTTAGTATAGGAGCAAGAACATTATAAGCACTATGCATTAGTTATTTTGGCCATTACACATTTTTTTTCCAGATCAGAAAACTGGAGCTCAAAGAAGAAAATTAAATTGTCCAAATGAAATCTACAGGCTCTGACTGATGTGGCTCAGTAGATTGAATGTCAGCCTGCAAATCAAAAAGTCGCTGGTTTGATTCCCAGTCAAAGGCACATGCCTGGGTTGCAGGCCAGGTCCCCAGTAGGGGGCACACAAGAGGCAACCACACATTGATGTTTCTCTTCCTCTCTCCCTCCCTTCCCTTTCTCTAAAAATAAATTAAAAAAAAATCTTTTTTAAAAAAGAAACCTATACCCAAACAAGCCGGAGTTCTTAACACTATACAGCACACATGGATATATGCCAGCAGCCACTTTTTTCACTTATATGAGATATTTTATCAGTGCCTGTTTTTGCTTATAGAAAGAAATCCAATTTCTTTCACAAAAGTGAAAATCAAAAACAGCAGCCAGTGTTTGCTTTGCAGCAGCCATTACAGAAGCAGTGCACACCCCAAGCAGCAAGAGTGGCCCCACCAAACTTCTTTCTGAGGAACCACACTCAACATCTCAGCACCAAGCCACTGTTGCTTTGAACTGTGTCTGTGAGCATCTGTATTTCACCTCCATTTATTTTGTAGATCCATTAGCAACATATGAAATAAGGTATCTGAAAAGCCTGAGAGCTTGTAAGTGTGTTGTGCTTAGCATAAAACTGGATGTAATTATGTGTATTTGGTATGATTTGGTAGGTTATCTTCAGGGTCTGGAAATGCTCCAAAATTTTTCCATATAAATTAATGGTGATTGCTTCTTTGCTTTACCTCATTTGGCTTATGAAAGATTTCATAGGAACACTCCACTTTTGGACATCAGAGGAAACATGTATTTTTCAGGTGATCTCACCCTGGAAACTGAATTTCTGGTTTTGAGATGTTGGAAGAGCTGGTAACACTTGGGTGATTTTCTGGCTGAGCATTAACTAGCAAGAACTGGGTTGAGGCTGTTCTTCTTAGTTTCCTCCTTACCTGCTCCACTTCTCCTGCCCCACCACTGCCTCCAAGGCTATGTCACTCACCTGTGCAGTATCTCAGGTTACATGCAGGGCTGCCCTCCAACCTGTACACGTGGTACCCACCCGGGCAGGCCTTCACCTGAATCTTAGTGTTCCAGTAGCAGCAGTTGCCTGACCACTGGGCACAAGCAGTGCGGGTGACAGTGCCCTCCCTAAGGGTTGGGTGGGTCCCATTAAGCCACATGGGAGCGTCAGTCTGGCATCTGTGTACTGGAACACAGGTCTCCGGCATTCTTATTCCTCCTCCTCCCACAAAGCGGAACCAGCCCTGCAGGTCCCTGTCACAATTCCGGACTCCTTCTGTATTCTCTGTGCTTCGAGAGGGATCATCCAGTTGGGTATAATTCTGGCAGGAGTCCAAACAGAATGGGGGCTCTGGAGCCTCAGGAGTGCCGCACTCCAAATCCAGCCCATAGGAACTGATGTTGGTGGTGTTTCTGTAACCTGGAAAGCAATAGCATTTGGGTTTACTGAGCAACCCCAGAGCCTACAGGATATTTATCCTTAGACACACTCTGTTCTAGATGTGCTAAGAACACTTAAGAGTCACATAACCATTAATTAAACATAAGCCTTCAACACCTTGAGGTCAGAATAATAATGAGGCCGTATTGTAGTATTTTATAAGCATTAAGAACATCAGATCTCCACTCTGCACATTGAACTTGGCGGCATTTCCAAGAGATCATGAGGACAACATTCCAAGGACCCATTTATGAGAGATTATGGTATGGCCAAGTGGAAACAGACTCCTAAGTTTCTAATTCTTTATTTCTGTCTGTCCCCCCATGGAAAGAGTCCAATCATGTTCTCATCGAGGTCAAAAAAAAAAAAAAAAGCCAGGGTCCAGAGTTTCTGCTTTATATTAAAACTTAGTACTTTTGTTACTAGTGCAGTCTGCCATGGGCCTTGGTAGCTGCTAGGCCCCACATAGTCACATGCTCCCAGGTAAAAGAGAATGATTGAATGTACAAGAGAGTGCATTACTAAGTGGGAGAGAGAGATGGAGGGGGTGAGGGAAAGAGAAAACCAACTTCTTTGTTACCCTGGGATTATATTAACTTGGGTTCGGTACAGACCAGGTGCTTTTCCAAATGACCAATCAACTTTGTTACCATAGGTAGTTAGCTAATTATTTTAAGAAAATGGGAGCAAAGGGAATTAGACATTTAACTTAAAAAATTGGGGAGCATCAGCCTGTTTGCTTCACCAGGAAGCTACAGCTTCACACTTAGGGTATCATAACATTACTCTACCAAGGAGATTAACATTTTTCTCTACCCAACTCTGGTACCAGATTGTTGAGGAGGTGCATGGGGAGGTACTGAACCATAGAAGACTGTCAATCTAGCTAGGGGATGTTGATGCATCCGAAGCCTGCAAGATCTTGGGAATTTGATTGGTCATTTGGAAAAGCACCTGATCCATGCCAAATGCCAGCTAACATAATCCTAGGGGAACAAAGGAACTCTCTCTCCTTCTGTCTCTCTTTCTCTCTGTCACTCAGTAACCTGCACTCACCCCATACACTCACATGTCCCCTCTCCATACCCATGTGTCCTTAGTCAATGCATAGCCAGTTGCCAAGTGGATTGCATATGCAGGCTCCAGGTAGGAACCAGAATATCTCAGAACAGCAACAGATTGAAGCAGGGAACACATGTTGGATGCTGGACTGAACTGAACTTTAATATGGCACAGAATCTCTGGACATTGACTCTATTTCTGGCCCTGGTTTTCCATGGTGGGACAAAGGGTATTGGGTCATTGCAAACCCAGGGGTGTGCTTCTACTTCCACTCAAATATAATTTGCCATAGCACAGTCTCCTGAGTATGGGTCCTTGGGATGCTTTCCTCCCAATCCTGTACAAAAGCCTTATTTCCACTGGCAACAGCCCTACCCTGAAGTTATGCAGTGCTCCCCTATTCAATCACACACTGTGGTCCTGTGAGACCAATATTTGTTTTTCTCATTATAAATGTAACACAAACTCATTGGAAAAAACTCAAATGCCATTGAAGTAAATGAGATAGAAATAAAAATTTTCATAATCTCATTCCATCTTCAGAAGTAACTATAAATTTGTTGTAGAGTCTTCAGGTCTATTGTATGCATATGTTTAAAATACAGTTTTGCTTTTTTTTAAAAAAGGGGGTTTAATGCACAGCTTTTTTCCCCACTTGCATTTTTTCCTTAATATATCACAGAGATTTTTCCATTATCAGCAGTTATATATAGATCTACCACAAGGTTTCTCAGCCTCACATTATTGATGTTTTGGACTAAACAATTGCATGTTGTGGGACCATCCTCTACACTGCAGGGTGTTTAGTAGCATCCCTGAGCTCTTCTCACTAGATGCCAGTAGTACTCTCCTTTCTGTATTGTCTCCAGACATGGCCAAATGTGCCCTGAAGGGAAAAATTAACCCCAGTTGAGAACCACTGATCTAACAAGACCATTTCTGTTTATTGACCTAATGGTTTTTACCAGGTTCAGGTACTGTGATGTGTGAAGAGACAGAATGAAGGATAGGGGACCACAGACTGCTCAGTCTGGGTTTAAATCCAGCTCCATACCTGCTGGCTGGATGACCTTGGCAGGTGGTTAAATTTCCCTGAGACTTATTTGTAAAACAACACCTGTGAGCTAGTAGTTCCCAAATTTCATCTATTCCTAGCCACCTGGAATCATAATGTTTGTCACACCTCTGTCTTGCCTGTCTTATTCTTTACTTCATGTGTTTCTTTCAATGATTTTCCTTATAAATTCATTTCTTCCCAAGAAATAATATCTGCAACGCCATAGATATGATGTACTAGTTATATTTGTTCAATACATTTGAGAAATATAGAGCTGCCAAAAAATTCTTTAAGAGTTTGTCATGAACCCCCACAGTCATCTTGGGATATGTATGCCCCATTTGGAGAAATAAAGCCCTAAAAGTTTGTTAGAGGATTAAATGAGATTACAGGTATAAAATTCCAAGTATAGCACCTGGGTCCTAGTTAATGTTTAAGCTAGTTCCCTTCCTTAGCCTTGATTTGTTGAATAATATGAGTGCTCAAACGATGAGATCAGTATGTACGCAGGATCATATGCTTACGATACACAGTAGAGAAAATTTTACAAAGAGATTTTCAAGCCTTGCTTATGTATGTGCTTATTTCAAGGAAAGGAGTCTCTGAACTTGTTTTCTTGCATTATTTCCTGCACACACTAGATTTCCCCAAGGGAGGCTATGAGCTAAGTTTCTCTATCTCCTCTCCCCCAGCCTCCTCCACAGGTTTCACCCTAGTCCTGACCCTAATAGTCTTTCTATTAACATTTGAGAAGCACAACCCATGGATCTTTAAGAACCACAGGAGATCACTAAATGTAGACTTCTCATTTTACAGATATGCAAACGGGTCCAGAGGAAGAAGTCACGTCAAAATTAGGACACAGAGTGATCATGTGATGCATGTCCTCATAAATCCAGGCTCTCTGATCTCCTCATATCTGGACATGGGAAGTTATTTTAACTAGCTCCCACTCCCCTTGCTGGAAGAATTCCTGATTTGGCTCTTTGAAGGATTAATTACTTGATTCTGGCTTCTCTCATTCTCCTTGACTTCTAGCTTTGAAATCTCCTGCTGCTCTCGCTGACCCAAAACTGTCTTCTCTGTATTTCCCTGTTCATTCCCCAGGTAGTGAAGGGCATCTGAGATGTCAGATGAGCACTCACCTTGCCTCTCTGTAGAAGCCAGGGTCAGAATGCAGGAGGCCAAGACCAGCCACAGGACATAAGAGCCCACCATCCTCTTTATCAGCTGAGACATGCAGGTAACTTAGTGGCATGCAGACTCTCCATGCAGCTAGGGGAAGGGAAAGACCCAAATATGGGTCACGGTAACAGAAATCATTACTCTGGGTGTGAGGGTAATGAGGGAACTCACATCAGTGCAATATCATAACTTGTCCTAAGTCCCTTGCATACTTTAGCTCAAGTAAGGTTTTGAACCACCCTCCAAAGAAGGCACAATTATTGCTTCCATTTTATAGATGAAGAAACTGAGACTCAGAGAACATTAATCACAGAAATATTTACTGAGCCCCTCCTATGTGCAAGTACTGGGCAGCAATTGAAGTACTGTTTTCTTAAGGTCACCGAAGCAGACAGGTGGTCTCCCTCATGAAGGACTGTCTTGTTCAAAACCAGGTATGACTTGCAGAGAGGAGATGGGGTAATAGAAAAAGAAGGCTTGCCATTAGGTGGATGGCAAGAAAAGTCAAGGTAAACCTAGAGCCATCCAGCACTGCAGACTGTCCTTAAAGGTCTCAGGTTGGTTCATAATCTGGTAGAGGTGAAGACCTTTGGAAATTAGATGGAGTGGATGGTTGTGGTGCTGTGAATACCTACAGACAAAGGTAATGGCTGATCTTAATTCTGTACGACAGGCACTGTGCTTAATGCCTCCTGATATGTCCTCTGAAGTGTAGATTTCTGTGAAGGTGGTACCCGTCAGACTGGGCCCATCACTTGTTCCTAGCACAGTGCCTGATATATAAGGGGTATTCAATAAAGGTTTGAGAAATAAATGTATAAATAAATAGGGGGATGGGCAGAAACAAATTGCTGTAAAAAGCCTACCAACACTCAATTTAATAACGCTTTCGCTTTTGGAAAATCCTTTCCTCAAATGGACAAATCCTTGGTGGCTTCTTACAGCCTCTGGAAGGCCACAATTAAAGATAGTGACTTACTTCTGGAAAGGATGTCATGAAAATGTTGTGAGAGCACCCAGGACTAGTAACAGTGATATCTGGAGCACTGGACAAAGGCCGGGGTCCAAACTCATTGCTGGGTTCTGCAAATTTCCAGAAACAAATGACCCCAACAAATTCAGTGGGTTCAGGGTCTGGGGAGAGTCCCAGGATCTGGAGAAAGCCTGGTGGGGTTTGAAGCAGGACTTACCTTGGGACGAGAACACAGGCTATTTCTGCTCCTTTGGCCAGCCATGGAAATGGAAGCCTGCCGTGGACCATCCTTTTATTGAAGTGTCCCACCCACGTGGCTCTCCACCATTGGTGCTGAGGGATGCCTGGAGTTAATCCCGGGCTGTTGGCTGTAGGTAAGATAAGTGCTTTACTACAAAGGATGATGAAAGAAAGTCCCTTTGCCAGTCACCTCCCCTAGTATAAACAGTTCCAGAAGCTTCAACTTCATGCACCTACTTCCTTATCGGTAAGAGTAACATAGTAATTCCCACTTGTCTGCAGGGGATACATTTCAAGACCCCCAGTGGATGTCTGAAACCATGGAGAGTACCAAACTTTATATATACTATATATTTCCTATATACACATACATATGACAGTATAATTTATGAATTATGCACAGTAATATATTAAAAACAACTAATAAAATAGAATACACTTAATAAAATTATTTGAATGTGCTCTCACATACACACATACATGCAAAATAACGTATAGCATGGCACTCAACCTTGTGAAGATGTGAAATGACACAATGTCTACTGATGAGATGAAGTGAGTGAATGACGTGAGCATTGTGACATAGCATTAACCTGCTGTTGATTTTCTGATGATATGACAGAAGGAGATTACTGAACTACAATGATGTCATGTCTTCTTGTTACAAATTTAGTGTTTTTTCTACCTTAACTAAGCATTTATCAAGCACTGTGGCCATAACTTTTTCCACTTGAGGTGTAACAGCAAAACTAGCACAAATTTCTTTTTCCTTCTTCACAATTTCATGGATAAAAGATTCATTGTTACCATAAATATGAACATCATACAGTTTTTTCTTCCCTTATTAAGTCAAGAATTTTCACCCTTTTATATGCAGGAAGCACTTTACGGCTTTTCTCTGGCATGTCCAAATTACCAGTATCACTACTCTTGTGTTTTGGGTCTATTATTAAGTAAAATAAGGGTTACTTGAACACAAGCGCTATGACACTGTGAAATTGATTTGAAAACTGAGGTGTCTACTAAGTGACTAATAGTTGGGTAAGATATACAGTGTGGAGATGCTGGACAAAGAGATGATTCATGTCCCAGGTAGACCAAAGCAGGATGACATGAGATTTCATTGCATTGCTGAGAATGGTGCAAAACTTATGAATTGCATATTTCTGTAATTTTCCATTTAATATTTTTGGACTGCAGTTAGCCCTAAGTAACTGAAACCTTAGAGAGAAAAACCATGGATAAGGAAGAATGACTGTATGTCCTGAATGCTGAACACATTGGGCACTGCTGAGTCCCGTCTTACATTTAATTCCCACCATCAACCGATAAAGCAGAAACCAAACACTAATCAAAAGGAAGCTTAATATCCAAAGGGAAGTGGACAGAAATCAAACAGGCACTTGTTTACACAATGGATTTCCAATTGTTCCTTGTGTTCTCAGCTAATCACCTTAGAACATTTCTGCTTCTGGCTGGGTGCCACTCAGCGTGGAGCCAGCGAGGGCAAGAGGATAAATAAAAAAGAAAAAAGTGGGGATAGGTTCTTCTTAGTTTTGGCCCATAGATTCTACCCAACTTCAGATATTCAATGTTGAGGAGCCCAGGAAAGGCAACTTGGTGACAGTGAATCATGGAATGCAAAGTATAGACAAAATAAGGCCCTAGACAAAATAAGCATCAGAAGAGCCTCCCCTCTAATCTCTGTCAATATGTGAGCTGCCCTAGATATTGGAAGGTATGAAACAGAGGAGGCTGTGCATCTGGGACTTTTAAACTCCAGGCTTGGACCAGGCTTTCATAGCATGGTAGATATCATGGAGCTGATGGTTTTGCAGAACAAAGAGCCACTGCTGCTTCTGTGTTACTCTAGGATGCTTTAAAGAGCCAAAGCTACTGAAGAAGGGGAGCACAGGGACCCTGGCATGGGTAACACATTCTGCCAAAACCTCAATCTGGAAAAAGGTGATATAAGCCACCTTCACTACTTCTAGCACATTTGGAGAAAAATACCCTAAATGTAATACTTATAACAACCACAAATGCAGGATTCTGAAGTTCATCTGAGCCCACAAAATAGCCAACTAGTCCATTCTTTTTGTCCAAGAGCTTACCCTCCTTTCCTAAACGAAAGCTCTCAACCTTCTCCATTCTTTTAAACAGTCTATCCATCACTATCCACTCACTCTCCTGCTTCTTTCTTATCAGAAGGCATCCAGGACCCCTTCAAGAAAAAGTAGGCCACCACCCAGCTTTACTTAACTTTGTCTCCTTCCCCTATAAATATACACATAGTGACCTCTATCCTCCACTTCCTCCTTCAATTTCTGATGAGGTGATCTTCTTCCTTTTCAAAGTAGGTTACTCAATCATGCTTCCGACATCTCAATTTCAATCTGAACCATTAAGTTGAAACTGCCCGCAAATGTCACCTCATAGGCAAGTCAACTGGACACTTTTTTCTGGCACCTAGTTACTGGATTGTTTTTGCTGCTTCCTCTGGTGCTCTGAATTTCCTTGATTCCCCTGTACCATGATTTTTCTTTTTCTTTTTTAGAATATTTGACAAATTTTTTATTTTTTTAAATTAATTAATTTTTTCAAAGATATTTGTCTCTCATTTTACTCTACCTATTTTCATACACCTACTCTATCCTTATCCTTTTATCCTTATCCTTATCCTCTTCCTCCAGCTGTCCTTGAGAATAATAGTAGGTGTCATTTTTCTTATCACTCTACACACTCTTCCTCAGAGGTGTCAGTTATCTCATTGTTTTTGGTACCATCCACAGGCTAGTGAGTTCCAAATCTGTAAGCTCATTCCTGAACTCCCTTGAACTCCAGGGCAACTTACTCAGTTGCCTGCTTGATCTCTTTGCTTGGGTTGAGAAGCTGGAGGCACTTTGAACTCAGATGGTCGAAACATGAACACATCAGTTTCCCATAAATCTCTCCCTCTTCATTACATCATCTATTTTTTAAATTAAATTTATTGAGGTGACATTGGTTGATAGGATCATATGGGTTTCAACTGTAGATTTCTATGATACATGATCTCTACTCATGTATTGTGTGCCCACCACTCAAAGTCCAATCATTTTCCATTACCAAATAACCCCCTTTACTCCTGTATTCCTCTCACTCCCTCTGGGAACCACCATACTGTTGTCTGTGTCTATGAGTTTCAATGTATATCCCACATATGAGTGAAATCACACAATTCTTGGCTTTATATGACTTACTAATTTCATTTAGCATAATCTGAATGTTCATCTATGTTGTTGCAAATGGTAGTGTTTCATCTTTTCTTATGGCTCAGTGGTATTCCATAGAATATATGTACCACATCTTTATCCAATCCTCTATCAAAGGGCACTTTGTCACCAAGTCTTGGCCACTGTTAATAATGCTGCAATGAACATAAGGGTTCATATATCTTTGTGAATAAATGGTTTGACGTTTTTGGGGTAGATACCCAGAAGAGGGATTCCTGGGTCATAAGATACCGCCATTCTTAAATTTTTGAGGAACCACCAGACTGTTTTCCATAGTGGTTGTACCAGTTTACATGCCCACCAGCAGTGAATAAGAGTTTCTTTTTCTCCACAACCTCTCCAATACTTGTTATCACCATTAACAAGTATTAATGGCTGTCTTGTTAATAGCCATTTTAACAAGTATGAGGTTTTTATCTCATTGTAGTTTTGATTTGAATTTCTCTAATAGCTAGTGAAGTTGAACATTTTTTCATATATATCTTGGCAATTTGTATGTCTTCTTGGGAAATGTGTCTATTCAGGTCTTCTGCCCATTTTTTATTCTTTATTCTATTACAGTTGTCCCAATTTTCCCCACT